TCACCTCACAGGATCTACCTGGCTCTGCTCCAGCTGGGGGGAGGAGGGGGCACCATCATTTTAGCCCCCCCATCCTCCCCCCACCAAAAATAAAAGTCAGTGCCTATACTCAAAGCTGGACCCATCATTTGGAGCACGTGTCACTTGTTAAAAGTGAAGTAGCGATTGAAAATATTGGTTGTTTTGGGTGTGCATTAAAAAAAAATGTATTTTATTTTCCTTCAGCTACATAGCATGTGAACAGTCTGTACAACACTCTGCACACAACTGCTTTCCTTTAAATAAGCACTATTTTTATTGAGCCAGTTTGAATTATAATAGTTCCAATTCTTCAGGGTCTAAATATGAATCATTTTAAAACTAAGCAACATACTTGACAACATAATTTTGATTTAGTTTGTTGGTATTAATCATACATTTTAATCAACAACCCTACATGCTAGTGTGAAATACTATGCACAGGCCTAAAAATCAGAGCATTTAACAGGACTGCTAAGCACTAAGCAGCATGTTGTAATAAATAAGTCCAATTACATCTATGATTAAGAAACAAAAATACAGGTATATACATGTGAAGAAACTAAAGAGGTAAAAATAAAAAAAGCCACATATAAAAAGAAAAAGAAATTGATTCATACTGCTATGCTCCATTAGCTCCAAAAACACTGTAATATTAGCATATCCTTTTCAATTTATTTCTGTATTAGTGTTTAATGCTATATTGATTTTTTTTGTTTTCTACAGGTATGACGTGCTTTCATTTCTGAACATATATCTAAACTTTTTAAACTGAATGTAGTCTTGTTCTTAACCTCCATTTTCACTTCATAATGAAGGCAGCAGTCAACTACTTTGCTGATTAAGTCAACTGCAAAACAGACTCAAGGAGCTGACAGACAGCTTCTGCTGGTATGCTGGGACACTGGCAAGAGAACAGATTTTTCTTCCATTAGCTGTAACCTATACATAGGTGCTTTACTTCTCGAGTCCCAAATCAGAAAGGTACTTAAATGCATGCACTTAAAACACATGAATAGTCTCAATACTTCAGTCACTATTAATTATCTTACTGAACTGGGTTCTAGAAGAGATTAAAGAATGTGAGTGGGATGGTAGCATTTGTGTTTCCAGGAATATAATTAAGGTGCTCACAGAATCAGGTTTCGCATACAGTAAAACTTTTGGGGGCCTGCTGAACACAATGGCAGATCTCCTATCGACTTTAGTAGAGCCAGGATTTTGCATACAAAGCACAATATTTCTGTAATCTTCTCTCACCCTACTTTTTTTTTTTTTTTGCCTTTGAGTACCCCTAAGTTACTGATAGATATTCTAAACCTCAATGCCATATGAATGAAGTGTTTTGTCTGAGAATTAACTACATATTTACCTTCCAACCATATTTATCACTCATATGTCATATATCTCTCTCTCATCTTCAAGTGATGCCAGTTTACATAAGTAACATCCAAAGTTAAACTGTCTCAATCACTTTTATTGCTGAAAATTTGTTACCTCAGAAATAAGTTATTATGAAGCTAAGGTTACCAAAAGAATTATACACATTACAGGAATGAAAACCAGAGCATTTTCATTTCCTTGTCTGAATACTCTTTTTGATGCCACTACTTCTGAGTAATTGTCACTCATTTCATCCCAGGTTTGTGTCTTGTTTTGTTTATATGCCCATCACTATATATGGCACCTCGGCACAAGTTAAAAGTCACATTCAATTCTGTCCAAAAAAAGATTTCAATTACTCGCTTATGTCTCAAGTGTCTTAAGTGCGATCATTAGCAACACTGGCTAGCAATCCACACTGCAACTTACTGTAAACAATTATCTGCTAGAGTATGCTGTGACAAATAAGGCTTTGTTGTTTTTTCTTTCCCCACTCCACCATCACTTTTCCCTTTACCTAATCATTAGTCCAGAGGAAAATCCTTCTTCTTGTACTTAATACTGATATGGGTCACACCTAACTTTTTAAGTTTCACCGTAACTACTTGTTGGGTTCACTCTATTAAATGTTCAAAGACTGAAGTGCAAAATATAATGATTCAACACAGTGCTAGAGTATAGAAACTACAGTTACCTAGGTTTATTTGGCCAAGGATAAAAGTCAAGTAATCCGAAACCCCGCTTTCAATCAAGAGACACAAGGCAGGGACTAGAAATAATATACAATCTAAAAATAAAAGTATGCACAGCTAAAGCCCATTAAAACAATCCCAGATAAAATTTTAGACAGGCACTTTATTACTGTGAAAAGCAAGACTGGGGATTATACTCACATTATGTTAAATAAGCCTCTGAACTGTTTTGGAACACATTTTACATAACAGATTGCACACGACAGAATTGTATTTTTTTCAGCAAGAAGTGTATTAATAAACAAAGGCATTCAAAATGAATGAATCTTAT